TTTATGTTATGGACATTACATTACAGACATTACATTATGGACATCACATCATGGACATTATATTATGGACATTATGACTGCATAATTTTATTATGGTAATTCTTTTGGGACAAATAAATGTTACATGCAAACCAATTTTGTTCAAATTTATCACATCTAAGTTTTCAGTGCTTTTGACTAAACACTAATCACAATTACTATAACAACAACTGTACATTAGCAATAGCAACACAATGCTGACATGAGGGGTACAAATTTTCAAAAAGTACGAGTCCAAGTGTAAATTAAGTTTTCTGAAAAACATTGTATTTAGAGTTAGTGCCTTCTTTTAGAATATCTGAAGATAACAAATTAAAATATAGCATGCAATGTTTCAGAAATGTAGCTTAAAACAAGCAATACCTCAACTTTCTAAGACCACTCAGCACTAATAATACTATAGGGAAAGTTGTTAACTCATACAGTTCATACTACCTGCCGCAGAACCACCACTGCCTTGTGGTTGCTTTTGGGAGAAGCGAAGGCTATGGGAGTAAACCCTGACAGAACATCCGGAGAAAATACCTCCGGCAACTCCTGCAGCTGCGCTGGCACCGACAGTATCGGCTCGTCCTTTCCGTCCGACCCTACCAATAACGCCGAGAGGGGGATCCTGGTGACTGGGCACACCAGGATTTCCATATCTTCCGCCCAGGCCTGCACCTGGAGAGGTCACTCCAGCTTCGCTGACCAGCGTAGGCACAACATGGAGAGCAGCAGTCTACCGGTTATAAGTCCAGGCTCGTTTGGCGTAGAGCTGGGATCCAGGGGTTGCTCTCGATGGTGGGAGGGGTCTTCGAGCCCCATTGGGTAGCTAACGCCCGCCTCAAGCCGGGCAGCCCCTGGACAATTGAGTTGCTACCCCACCACAACCTGCTTGCCCCATTGGGTGCTTGGAGCTTAGGCAAAACCAACAGGCAGGTTGCCGCACCAGGCAAACAACAAAGAAACAAGAAATCACCAGCCAAACAGCTTGCTACTTGGAACGTCAGAACGATGTGTCCTAGCCTCTCTGACGACCTCCAGCAAATCCATGATGCCAGGAAAACTGCCATCATCGACCGTGAGCTGTCCAAACTCAAGGTCGACATAGCCGCCCTTCAGGAGACACGCCTCCCCGCAAGTGGCAGTCTCAAGGAGAAGGATACACCTTATTCTGGCAGGGACTCGACTCCCTCTCAGGAGACCACAAGGATCCTCTCTCTCCGCCTCTCGACCCCCTCTGGACCAGCAAACATCTTCAGCGTCTACGCCCCTACACTCTACGCTACAGCCGAGGCTAAGGATGCATTCTATGAGGAGCTTGAGGCCAAGATCAGAGAGATCCCACAGAAAGAAGACCTGTTCCTACTTGGAGACTTCAACGCCTGGGTAGGCTCAGACCACAGCTCATGGCCGCGATGCATAGGACACTTCGGAGTGGGCAAGCTTAACGAGAACGGACAGCGGCTACTTGAACTCTGCACTTTCCATGGTCTGTGCATCACCAACACCTTCTTCTCCACTAAACCGCATTACAGAGTGTCCTGGAGATACCCCAGATCCAAGCACTGGCACCAGTTGGACTTCGTCATCACCAGGTCCCTGCTCAACCGAATTGTGGTGATTTCGCCAACAAGTGAATTCGCCAACGTCACGTTCGCCAACGTCCTTGGTCGCTTCGCCAACGCGATGAGTCGCTTCGCCAACGTCCTACTGGTCACTTCGCCAACGCCAAATATCTAACTAGTGTAGGTCTAATCAGGCCAAGTAAAAAAAAAAGAAATGTTTCTCGTCCAGATTTTTATATAAAAAAGAGAGAGCGTAATGGTTTGAGTTTTTTTTTACTTTTAGGAGATGTCTTCTGTTAGGTGTAAGATAAGCAACAACAGTTGTATAAAAGAGAAATTAGATCCTCCATCAACTTATAATCCTGGGCCAGGTCTTTACTTTTTGGAGTATCAAGGTATATATAACTAAATATAACCTACCGGTGTTACACATTCGATGGTTCCAGCGAAAACATCCATCGCACTGAACCGCTTGCTGCCGAGGCCATACCAGTTCGTGACAAACAATACAGTTTAAAATCTGCGCAGTAGCCATCCTGATATTAATAGTATTCCGAGATAAAGGTTTCCGAGATAATTCGTTATGAGTAGTAGAGTGTGTCGTAATCGTATGATTGAAATGAACATTCTTCGCATGCCAGTGTGTTTTATACAATTCGAAGGATCGAAATATCATATCAGTTAGTTTCAAGCAATTGGATTGGTATATTTAGAACAATAGGGTAAAATTAACAAGTTTTAAGACAATGAGTTTACGCGTCTATTCATATGGTAATATACAAGCGTCAGAAAACATGCTGTTTCCTCACGGGTCAGTTGCACCACCCACCTAAACAATATTATTGCTGGTATTTGTGTTTCTTGACTGTGTTTCTTGTAATACTTATATACTCTTGATCGAAGTTATAATATGCGCTGGAGTTATAGAATTAGTAGTAGTAGTAGTCTACAATGTATTTATAAAAATCTCTGTTCTAGAAGTCTCAAAGGTAATTATATAAATCTCTGTTATCGACAAATAAATCTTATAGAAGAACTTAAGGAAAAGGTTGCACACACGCGACTTTATTGCTCTAAGTTAAATTCAGCAACATACAGCGCCGGTAACGCGTGGCGTGCCGTGCATTTATGTGGGCCCACTGTGTTTTAAGTTGCGCGTACAAGAGAAGGAAACTAAGTCCGAACAAAATAACGGAAGGAAACTAAGTTCGAATGGGGAAATCAAGTCAGCTCAGTCAAGTAAATAACACACAGAAGCAAGAAGAAGTAATAGTAAATTTTTATTTAGAGTAAACTAATGCATTGGCGAAGTGACCAGTAGGACGTTGGCGAAGCGACTTTTCGCTTTGGCGAAGCGACCTAAGACGTTGGCGAACGTGACGTTGGCGAAATCACCAGATACCGCTCAACCACGTGCTCATCACTCGCACCTACCACAGTGCCGACTGTGACACGGACCACTCCCTGGTCTGCAGCAAGGTGCGTCTCCACCCCAAGCGATTTCATCGCTCCAAACAAGAAGGACGCCCCCGTATTGGCACAGCCAGAGTTTCACTCCCAGGACCGCTGAGCGCTTTGCCGAGACCATGGAGAAAGCCTTAGAGGACTGCCCAACTGACAGTGCCACAGCGCGATGGAACTACATCCGAGATGCCATGTATGAGGCGGCCTCAGATGCCTTCGGAATGCGGGAGAGAAAAAGTGAAAAATGGTTCGAGGCGGGAATCAAGGAGATGGGGCCCGCTATCACTGCCAAGAGCACCGCACTCCTCGAGCACAAGAAACAGCCCTCCAAGACTGTGGCAAACAGATGGAGAGATGGGCGGAGCATTACCAGGAGCTGTACTCTGAGGAAAGCCATCAAGTCCCTTGCCAGCAGCAAAGCACCAGGCAGTGACGGCCTTCCCCCCGAGATTGTCAAGCTAGCAAGCGAGAGTTCTCTTCTCGGCCACCTGCATGATCTCCTGCTCTAATGCTGGGAGGAGGGCACGATACCCCAGGACATGCAGAAACGCCCACTTTACCTTGCATTCATCAACCTGACCAAGGCCTTCGACCTGGTGAGCAGAAACGGTCTCTTTGCCCTTTTGGAAAGAATTGATCACATCCTTCCACGACGACATGAATGGTACAGTCCAGTTTGACGGATCATCCTGAGACCCCTTTCCAATCAAGAACGGCGTGAAGCAAGGGTGTGTCCTGGCCCCGACACTTTTCAGTGTGTTCTTCTCCCTTCTCTTGTGCTATGCCTTCCGCGAGTCTGAAGATGGCATCTTCCTCCACACCACGAGCGACGGGAACCTCTTCAACTTGGCCCGCCTGTGTGCTAAGACCAAGGTGCGCAGAGTTCTCATCAGGGAGATGTTGTTTGCGGATGATGCTGCCCTCACCACCCACACCGAGGAGGCACTGCAGCGGCTCATCACACGCTTTGCAGAAGCCTGCAATGACTTTTGCCTAACCATCAGCCTGAAAAAGACTAACATCATAGGCCAAGATGTCAGCGTCACCCCACACATCACCATTGGCGAGCACGCCCTAGAGGTAGTCGACAACTTCACCTACCTTGGCTCCTGTATCTTCAGCAACCTATCCCTGGACTCTGAGCTCAACATTTGGATAGGAAAAGCAGCAACAGCAATGGCTCGCCTCGCAAAGAGAGTTTGGGATAATTCCCTGTTGACCATCAACACAAAGATGAAGGTGTACCAAGCCTGCGTACTGAGCACCCTTCTCTACAGTAGTGAGACATGGACCCTCTACTCCCGCCAAGAAAGCAGGTTGAATGCCTTTCACATGCGCTGCCTTAGACGACTCCTTGGCATCACCTGGCAAGACCGCATCACAAATGCAGTGGTCCTATCACGGGCAGGTCTACCCAGCATGTATGCCATGCTGACCCAGAGGCGACTGCGCTGGCTCAGCCATGTATGCAGAATGGATGATGGACACATCCCAAAGGACATCATGTACGGTGAGCTTGCCACAGGGACGTGGCCAACAGGACGACCAACTCTGCGCTACAAGGATGTCTGCAAGCGTGACTTGAAGACCTGCAGCATCAGCCCTGGAAACCTTGAGTCAGCAACAGCCGACCGTACACTCTGGCGATCGACTGTTAAGGCTGGTGTCAAACAAGCCGAGTTGAAGAGGGAGAGCCAGTGGGAGGAGAAGAGGACTCGCAGGCAACAGAGGCTCCAGTCTGCCCCCATTCTACCAACCCCCACAAATGACTTTACCTGTGCAAAATGCCAGTGGGTCTGCGGCTCCCGCATTGGGCCGGCCAGCCACAGCCGGCGGTGCAGCTTGACGTGATTTTACTTCTTAGGTGCAGATTTCCATTGTCTTCCGAGACAGAGGGTTGCCAACATTGTTCTACTGCTTCCCTTTTCAGACTTTCTAATGTTACCCCTGATTCAAGGGTTATTTTCTTGAACCCAGGAAACTCTATACAAGGTAGAAGGACTTGCTGCTCTTTTTCTCTCCCATTTTTTTAAACTTGCCTTCATTTTGTCAATCTGTAAATAACCCTTTAACTCCCATGAGTGACCATGACTGAATTTCTCCTTACAATATCAACATGATATCAACCAGATAAGTGATGAGAATAAAGAAAACTATAAATTTGGGGATAATTAGTTGATCCAATACTAAATTCTCTGAAGTAACATTATAAGAATTGCATGGTTGGGAGTATTAGGAGAATTACAAATTTGATGTGGGAGTTAAAAGGTTCATAATTTATTTGCTAGGAACAATTGTGTCCTGTTTGCATATGTTTAAAATTCTGCATGCTCTCATTTCACTCATATCTATGTGAGTGTTTATTATATTCCCTGGTATTTATCTTATATCAAGAACTATGCATGATATTAATTACCCATTTAACTATGTTGTGATTGATGGCTGTGATTATGTTTGGCTACAAACATGTGGAAATACTAGAAATAGTTATATTAATATAATAATGATAATGGCATTGGTACAATTTTGGGTCTGTTCATGGAACTGCAGGTGTTGTATGATGATCAAACAGTAAAATGAGCACTGATTTTTACTGGTTTTGATCAATCTTCTACCAAAATGAAGTTATTGTGATGCTAATTACATAGACGATCTACTTTTGAGAGTGGAGGTGTGTGATATTCTTTGGAAGCTCTGCAGTTATTTAAGTGTTTGTCTGCTTGCTGTCATCATTGTAGGGCTGCAGTGGCAAAGAGAAGTTTCATGTGAGTGTATATATTGACCATTCTTGCATGTGAGTCCAGGTGATATTGCATGTATGGAGCTTTCCAGTTTCATCAATTGAAGTAGTTGCATCAGGGAAGCTAGCAGAGAGTTTATTCTCTCAGGTATAACTGACTTGTGGGCTGTGTTCTGCAGATTTGTATGGTGTTTAGTGTTTGTGGTTGATCTGATAACACTTGTATGCATTATGTTAAAGGAGATTGCGCACTGGTTTTTATCAATTATGCAATTGTTGGTCACCCACTTATAGGGCAGTACGTGATGTATTTAAAATCGCCAAGTACGTGTGGTGCTTGTGGATGATGATCATTCTAGTTTATCACCCACTACATTGTTGTTTCAACATTGTTATCAATAGTTTGTCCTTGTGGGAGTGGTGATGGATGATGCGTCAGCAATGTTGCTATAACAACTGTTATTTTGAAATTTCTATGGTCATTCTAGGAGTAGAGGAGGAGGAAATCTACAAATTCCTTTTAAGCTGCTCCTCCATCCAGGAATGTGGGTGCTGGGAGGGAGACCTGGTGTCATGTTGGGTGATATACCTGTGAGGAATTACATTTAGTTTTGCACTGAAAGGAATGATTAATACCCGGTATTGCCTAATCCCATGAAAATTGGGATAGTTAGGGTGTGTAACATGAGTTTTGGCAAGTTGACCCATAACCAGTCTTTCTAGATAGTGCCTTCTTGCTGTAGGCTGCTATTTAGTGATTGTTGTAAACACGGTGACCTGAAGTAATATAATTTCCGTATTTGTTGTGTTGATATTTCCTGGTCTAGTCACGGAGTTGGTCTATTAACTGACTTGGTAACAGACTGATTCCCATATTGACGACAATTTTCCCAGCACAGTGTAGTTTGCTTGTGATTAAATATGTAGTTTGCTTGTGATTATGTAGTTTTTGTCCTTGTTGGGATGGTGATGGATGATGCTTTTGCAATTATGATCCAAGTGACCAAAGTGTAGCAATGATCTTTGCAGGGTGGTAAATGGAGCTTGCAGTCTTGCTTTGATGTTTCACTGTAGTTTATATATTTGTGTCTGCTTGTGGATCGTTTTGGAGCTATGGAGGTTTTAAGGTTTAGGTATAATGGTTACGCTGGCAATGATTGCTTTTATTATTAGATACTTCTTAGGCGAAATGGGGTATTTTATTAGTTATCTCCTAAATTTTAAGATTAAGTTTCTCTTTTTATTTTAGCGGTATAGTATATATCATTTAATTATTTTAATGATTTTTAGGCCCACATCAGCCTTCCTGGCTGCCAATTTGTAACCTGCTTTAGCAAATAAAATGATGATGATGATGATGATTAAGAATCAAACGTCAACCAGCCAGGACTGACCGGGTTTAAGGCCCTCGAGAGGAACCCTAACCCGAGAGGAACTACCTAACCTTTCAAATCGCATTTCATATCTGCTGTTTATGTTGCTGTTTGTTACTTTGTAAACTGAAAAACAAAACTCTTTCTTAATCTTGAAACTGGGTTGAAATGAAAAATCTCAGATTAAATCTCTTATTACGTTCTTTCGTTGGTGTTCCTTGCTCCAAAGGATTTAGAAAATGACATCACGATTTGAAACTATTCTCGGTCTCAATTGGCTATCGGGAGTTTTTTTTTCCGAATGGGTTTGATTAACATTACTTAATGTCAATTCTCTTGACAGGTCATCCTGGAAAAGTTAGAATTATGGCTACGGCTATTTCGCCATTTGCGTCTACGAAAGAGACTACCAACTATGCAAGGTTATGCCGCCTCCTGGTGGATGTTGGATCTCAGGTGCTTCGGTCCACTTTTGACGCAATACATCCACCAGCGACTCTACATACAGTTTTGGGAAGTACCTCAGTGCATTACGCCACATTGCAATCACTGTATAAAGGGAGGAAGAAAGTGCTTAATCCCACGCAATGGGGGAAGTTCTACCCTTCTCACACACCCGTGTCTTCTGCAGCCTTCGATATCACACTTCTAACGGTGCTTCTTAGAAATATCTGTGGTTTGGGCCCCCCTGCCAATGGATGGGATCGTCTTCCCCTAGCTACAAACATAAGCATCGCAGATGACATCGCGAGAGTGAAGTATTACAGGAACACTGTATACGGCCATGCTTCTCAAGCCTCTGTGGATGACAGTAGTTTCAGTGCTTACTGGCAGGAAGTAAAAGAAGCTTTGGTGAGACTGGGAGGAGCTGATTTTAGAGCTGAAATCGACAATCTTGAGCACGACTGCATGGATCCAGATATCGAGGAGCATTATCGTGAACTGATGAAACAATGGAAGAAAGACGACGACAGCATCAAAGACAAGCTTGAACAAATTGAAGGTAAGAAAAAAATTGTCCACTGCCAATATGGATGAATCAGAGGGCTATAAAATTATATACTTTCAGTTATCACGGTAGTGTTGGCTAGCTCATGATGTTTTCATTTTGGTCGGAACTAGTCACATATTAGCAACATTATTCTCCGTTATGTGTGAAAAATGAAGAATTAACTCAAATGTTGACACTGTGTTTTCATAGGCAGTATTTTTTTCTGTTCGTGGGTACTCGTGCACAACTGCTGGAGGGCATTTTTGGGATTTCTTAGCGTCTTATTGAGTTTGATCTTTTCGGAATCGACTAGACATTGATATGCGTATCATTATTTTATCTGCACCTAAAAGTGAATCTGTGATGTAAATGTGATTATGAAATTGCACTTATTTTTCTTACATCTCCAGATTCACTGGGTGACCTCAGAGACACAACTGAGAAGATAGAGATTGAAATGAAGGAGGTTAAAGAGACGCTTAGTAGCCTGACGACCACAGTGGAAAAAAGCGCAGATGAAGGTTGGTTGCTGTTAACTTGAGTACATAACACATCTTTTAAGCACGACCCCATTATTCGCTTGATGTCGGCAAATGTAACATAATGTTAGGTATGTGTTGTTGTAAGAGCACACCTTAGCTACCAACTTACTCTGGCTACAAATGAAGATACTAGGTAATGTGTGGGATGAATGAGATGGCACGGAATCTCAGGCAACCCCTCAGATTGGATAGCTTTCTAACAGCACCCATACACATTTGGCCGAGAAAGGTTATTGTCTTATTTTAGTTCTACTTTTGTCAAGGACATAATGAATATAACTTTCTAGACCGTTAGATGTGACCTGTATATTCTTGAATAGACTAATGCAATCCTTCCTGCAATCAAATTTCTTGTAGAGTATTCCATTCTCATGAAAAATCTCTGAATCAGGGTCGTCTTAGTTAAAAGGGGCAGAATGAGGAGTATGTGGTTATTTTACATTTCCCAAGTAAAAAACCGTGCACGAAACCTCACACGTCATTACAGGCGGACCTCTGGTTTCTCCAGCGCTTTTCTTTTTCTCATGATTAAACGACGTGAAAAAGAGGGTGGAAAAGCGTTCTTTGGTTTTCGTTAGTTAGTTCTTACAGTGTCGCTTTTTACCGACAAAAATCTTGGTCCGACTATCGGCTCCAGTGATATCAATATTTATCTCCCGAGTAATATAGTTTACGACAAAGTTTCGATATCAGACACCGCTGAAGTCGAGCCATAAGTTTTCTTAGAATGTTGTTAAAATTAAAGCAAACAATAGAATGCTTTTCCTTTAGTTAACTTTTCTTTTAATGAATAAAGTGACTCTCACTCAGACTGAAAGTTCTAATGTTATTCTATCGTCAGATACCACTAAAGGGTCTCTTGAGCAAATGGTAGGCGAAATGGCAAAGATGGATTGCGAACTTAGAGAAGTGAAGGAGAAGTTGTGTTCTCTAACAGCCCCAGTGGGAGGAAGCAAAGATGAAGGTTAGTTTAATTAAACAATAAAATTGATTCTGCTTATTTTAACGTCTTCATAAACCGGATATTTAGCCGTAGTCAACACTTCATGTGACAGGAGAGATCATCCTATCTCAAGGAGATTCAGTTTTTCAATTTAAAAAATTTCTGGACTAGTCTCTGTGGTGTGCTTTCCTTCCCTTCAATACATTTAGTATGGAGCGCAGTTATTACAATTGCCGTTCTACAATTGCTTTTACTGTAATATTTGGGGTGGCGTATGGAGCCACTGTTAACTGAATACCTGCCGACCAAGGTTCAGCGAACTGTCGTTCGCAAGACATTCCCTTTAAAATTTCACCCGCAATCACCCTGGTTAAAACACTGTATTTGATGAGCCGTTTTGGTCTGCTCTCAGCTATCAAATAATGAAATCTCCATAACTTGTAATATTTGTACTAAACTATACAGAAAGATTTAAAGATTCAGCGAGCGAGACACTTGTGAGAATGGAGAACGATATGAAAGAGATGAAAGAAAAGCTGGTTTCCCTGATGGCTTCAGCAGAAGAATGCAGAGATCAAGGTCAGTCGTTCGAAAGACAGCACAGTTTTAACCGAAACATTGGTTTTAAGTTCATCTCGATGTTACAAACTAACAGAGAAGGTTCGACTGAATTCATAATCTAAATGACTTTTGATGAGTGAACATTAATCATACACTTGTACGTTTTTCCATCGTCCAAGTAATTTCTTTGGCAATGGTTCAATTCGGTGCCAAATACCAGAGAGATACCACAACTTTCAACGCCACATTCATGAGATTTCTTACTCGTTTTGCAACTTTTAGGTATTTTTGATCCAACTGGGCTTATCAATGGAATTCGCCAGCTGTACAAGACTCGCGAAGGATGGCTTTCACCGTTTCCATGGTGTGAAGAGTTTCAATTTTTCCTTGGCAATATTTTTACAAGGCTCAAAGTGGTTAGAAGAAAGAAAACGAGAGGAAAAATCACTGACGTATTTGTTGACATGTCGTCAATACTGGACCCGTCTGAAGAGTGTTCAGCGCCCAGAACAGTGTTGATTGAAGGAGAGCCTGGTATGGGAAAAACCACCTATTGTAAAAAGTATGCCTACGACTGGGCCACAAAACGGCAAGAACCTCTGAGCCGCGGCTCCACAGCATTCATAGCAGAATTATTGCTGAAATGTCGAGACATCCATTCCGATGTTTGGGAAGCCATTGATGATCAGCTTCTGCCCCGAGACATCGATGAAGAAGTCAAACAACAATTCTTTCAGTTTATTCGTGAAAATCAGTCCAGCATTTTGTTGATATTGGATGGATTGGATGAGGTACCTTCCAGCAAATTGTCGATGTTTTCCGAATTAATTGAAGGAAGAGTACTCCCCAGATGCCACATAATTGCAACAGCAAGACACGAAACTGGAAAAAAGGTGAGAAAATGCTTTGACACGCTGCTTCAGATCGAAGGATTTATTGAAACCCATGTGGAAGAATTTATCACCAAGTATTTTAAAGAAAGGCCGGATTTAGCCATCAAGCTCTCGGAACGGATGTCGCAAGATAAAAACCTGACAGAAATGGCAGCCAATCCTCTAAACACAGCACTTCTTTGCCTTTTATGCGAAGAGTTTGAGGGCACACTACCCGAAAACAGAGCTCAACTGTATTTGGATATGGTTGAATGTGTTTTGAGAAGATATAGAAAAAAGAAGGGACTATTACAACCGGAAGAGGACCTGATAAACTTTTACAAACCACAGTTGAATCACCTTGGGTGGGTAGCATTGAATGGTTTACTTAACGACAAGTTGGATTTTAATGAAAGGGAATTGGGAAACTATGCAAAAGAGTTGACTGAATTTGGATTTCTCTCAGTGCAGCCTGGTGGCAGCAAATTGAGGCAAACACTGCATTATGCTTTCTTACATAAAAGTTTTCAGGAATGCTTCGCAGCATTCTTTATTTGTTCTCAGATTCAAAGCAATGAATTAACACCTGAAGAACTAGTTTCCGATCCAAGGTATTTCGTTGAACTTAAACAAGTACTTTTGTTTTCATGCGGAATTTTAGCCATGAAATGCGACGAACAAGTTGTGGCTCTTGTAAAGAGTTTAACAGATGAAGTCAACAAAAATGCAGGCAAAGGTACAAATGTTGTATTGGAGGTGATTGACGAATGTACAAGAGAAAAAAGTGATTTTCACTCACAGTTAGCAAGATCATTTGGAACTGGTTTGAATCTGACTAGTTTCAATTTGTCTCGTAATGGTATTAGTAATGCCGGTGCTACATCTATTGCTGAGGCAATCAAAGTCAACAAGACCCTAACCAATTTGTGTTTGTCTGACAATCGTATTAGTGATGCCGGTGCTACATCGATTGCTGAAGCAATCAGAGTCAACAAGAAGCTAACCGATTTGGATTTGTCTGACAATCGTATTTGTGATACCGGTGCTACATCTATTGCTGAGGCAATCAGAGTCAACAAGACACTAACCAATTTGAATTTGTCGAACAATGGTATTAGTGATGCCCGTGCTACATCTATTGCTGAGGCAATCAAAGTCAACAAGACGCTAACCAATTTGAAGCTGTCTCACAATGACATTACTGATGCCGGTGCCACATCTATTGCTGAGGCAATCAAAGTCAATACGGCCCTAACCAGTTTGAATTTGTATGACAATCATATTAGTGATGCCGGTGCTACATCTATTGCTAAAGCAATCAGAGTCAACAAGACGCTAACCAATTTAAGTTTGTCTCATAATCGTATTAGTGATGCCGGTGCTACATCTATTGCTGAGGCAATCAAAGTCAACAAGACACTAACTAATTTGAATTTGTCTCAGAATCGTATTAATGCTGCCGGTGCCACATCGATCGCTAAGACAATTAAAGTCAACAAGACGCTAACCAATTTGAATTTGTCTGTCAATCTTCTTAGTGATGCCGGTGCTACATCTATTGCTGAGGCAATCAAGGTCAACAAGACGTTAACTAATTTGAATTTGTTTAACAGTGGTATTAGTGATACCGGTGCTACATCTATTGCTGAGGCAATCAAGGTCAACAAGACGCTAACTAGTTTGAATTTGTCTCGTAATCGTATTAGTGGTACCGGTGCTACATCTATTGCTGAGGCCATCAAAGTCAACAAGACGCTAACCAATTTGGAGCTTGTCCGTCAGTGATATTGCCGGTGCTGCATTTGTTGCTGGGCCAAACTAAGTTAGCAGGAAGCCAACCAATTGGCATTTGTCTTAGAATAGTATTAGTGATGCCGATGCTCCTTTTTATGCCGAGGCAATCAAAGTCAGCAAGACTCTGACCAATTGATTGAAGTGACTGTACTTTTCCTTTTGTACTTTTCCTTTTAAGTAACGTTTTTTAAATTTTCCCTTTTGCAGATGCAGGAAGGAGCTTTTTTAATTGTCTTTAGTTGCTCTTTGATTAGATTACATTCAAGTTATAATAGCTACCTTTGTGATGTTTTTTTCGTTTAAGGTGATGCTTATGCTTCTGAGGTATTTACATTAGACGACAAGAAGTGTAAAACGCCATTGTTTTTAGAGTTTTGTTATGAAAGGAATATCATAAGCATGTATCATCCACGAGCAGCAATATTTTTTCCATTCTTTATAAGCCTCGAGCGCCTCTCTTTCAATATAAACCAAAGCAAAAAAAAGTTTATAGGCATTGTTTTTTATTTCTATTTCGATCTGCACAGCAATGAAATTTGACCACTGGGAGGTTCCTAAAGGGGAGGTGTGCGGGGAAAGAGGATGGGTGGGGACACAACAGGGGCGAGGTAAACAAAGTGTGCTGTTGATAACTCTTCAAGGGTAAAGTATTGCCAGCGGATGCTTGTTTCCACACAGGCCTGGGGCGAGTTAGTAGATGTGCGATTCGGCAGGCGAGGACGCATAGCCCCAGAAATGAAGGGATGATTGTCGGTTTCCCATGCAGGAAGATCTGAATTTGTACCAATTATACATTCTTTGCTAAAGAGACTGGCAGTTAGAGCTTGGTCAACAGATTGTAACGAAATCGTTTGAACAAATTTTATAAGGAACTCTCTGAAAGATAGAGCTGATAAAGTCTTTTCACTTTCATCAGAAATAAAGACAACGGATTTGAAACGTAAACCGACATCCTCGAAGTCATATAAAAATACTTTAAAAAAATTAATAGATTCTAAAATAGAACAGGACCCAGTTGTTCAAAGGGCGGATAACGCTATCCAATGAATACATCGCTATCCAGCGGACGTGTTAACAAAGAATATTGCACCATCCATCGGATGGAGATTTATGTAGTGGTTATCGTTATCGAACGATGAGGACCAGGTGGACGACTGTTAGTTAGTGGAGTGATCTAAACAACGGGTAGTATTCACAGTTAACGATTTGGTGCACAACTTAGTAAGTGTTTTTTTTTCGTTGGGTTTTTAATTTCTAACAGCAAAAACATGTAAAGGAAACGAAACATCGCAAAATTTTAATGTTTCCTCGACAAAGCCATAATAGTGGGATTGGGAAGGACAGGAAATTGACTGTTGCTAAAGCAACGCTGCCATGCTCCCTCACTTCCCATACAACCTCTCCCCTCCCCTCCCCTCTCACCCCCCATCCATTCCTTATCCTACAAGAGCCATGATCCCTCCGTTAATTTCCTGACCACACAGGCTGTAAGGGGAGGAAACTTGAAAACTCCATCAGTAAGTTTAATAAGAGCTTGGCGGAAGAAACAGAAAAGTAGTTTTCCCCTCCCCTCCCTTCTAACCCCCCCCTCCCCCTCCCCTTCCCATCTAATTTGTTTTTGTTGTCAAAGCCCATTTCCAGTCTTTCCTGGAAGTGGCTTCTGATGTTTGACACCAACATATCCTCCTGGGAAGAGAAATAGAAGGAGGAAACAATTCTGAGAGCAAAGGTAGTATTTCTCATATACCAATGTCATATGTATTACGCTGAACTGATTTAAGAACCCTGATGGCTTTTCCTTCTTTTGAAAGTCGTTTTAATCCACGCACCCTATAATGGAATAACAATCGAGCCGTTTGCAGTAAGCTGTGTAACTTTTTCGAAACTTCGTTTTCAAAGATGAGATTTCTGTTGAAATATCTGCTCCATTCCAATGAAGGAAGTGTACCACGTCATTATTATTACAGTTTTGTTACCGAAGCGATTCCATTGACATGAGGTATTAAGGAAACAGGATGGAAGAAGTTTGCTTGAATGCTAAGGATTTGGTCGAGATAATGCTAAAATACCTGTGGTGAAAGACGAAAGAAACCAGTTATACAGGTTAATAAAGAGAATAGTGTATTAAATTAGGGTATGTAGGAATGTAGGAAAGAATTTTTAAAATAAATTCGGCGAATGGATAACAAACTTAGGTGTCAGAGTGAATGTCAACCCATCTTGCTCCCACAGTCATGAAAAGAGTTTTAGAGACCAAACATTTTATTTACCACCGGGGGATTGGAGATTCCTCTTCCTTTTTTCCTTTGATGGGGCTGGGGGGTCACATGGTTTTAAGGAAGGGAGGGTGATCAGTCGTCTTTAACAGAGTGTAAGGGAGTACTATAGAAGATTGACCACGAATTCACTTTCAATGAGGGGGAATCATAAATTTTACCATGGCGTAACCAACCCCCCCCCCCCCCCCCATAGGCGATAAATAATGAGCGACCGCTAACAACCTGAAGCGAGTCTTTCTGAGCGTTTGACTCAAGATTATATTCAGATTTATTACTATTGAGTTTGACACAGATAAATTGCAAGTCATAGGAATACGGCCAATAATTCTTCAGTATAGCTTTATAAAGTATTTATCTTATTTCCTTTGTAGCTTCAGCTGAATACATTTGAATACAACCATCTCGTAATTGAAAATTAGGTGCAGAGTTTGTTTGTTTAATCCCCGCAAGATCATCCGACTCTTTTTTTATGTGTTAATTGCTTACAATATACTGATCAACTCCATCTATGTCAGTCCCTCTGGCCCAGTCTTTGGAAGGGTCGACGATGGAGACGTCAAAGGAACAGACTCAAAGGCTCGGTTTACTGTTTAGCTCTACTGATCAGATTCCAACAATTAGCAATGACAAGGAGGAACCTTTTGATTGGGATTAAGTCGCAACTACGAGCGTGGAAGGTTAGAGTTTCAAAGGGGTAGTGGGTGGGAGAGGTGGATTTCCGCCACTAAAAACTTTGAAAATATAAGAAGACGAACGCATCATTCGTAGTTTTGGCAGAAAAACGCTATCTGACGCTGATACGCCCAAATATACAAAAAAAAAACCACGAAGGATTATGTTACTACTATAGAAGCTAAAACATTATCTTTCTTTGCCAGAGGAAAGGTGCAAAATAAAGAGATCACCAGGCGAAAACGGAAAGTCTTTAACTGCAATGCGGAAACTGCGGAAAATCTGCCGTGCGTGTCTTGTTTTTCAATCTTAAGATGCGTGAGCTGTAGCGAGAGGTCATATGAAAGCAATCACACGATGTTGTTTGGAAGCAACTTTAACGGCATTTCGTCTGCAGCTTAAAGAGAAAAAAAGTTACTTATTGTTTAGGTGAATCTGGAAAGAGTCCTGTAATAAATTTTTTTTGAAACGATGCTTTTGAGTTTGTGCTGCCCTACTGAACTGTTCGCTTGAGAGAAGGCTAAAAGGCTAGAGAACTTGCTCCTGGTAGGGTAGGATTGTTTATACTGTTTGCTACATTCAGTACATGTGCTTGACCTTGTTAATTACCGAATCGCTTTAAGTCGCTTCTCTTGGTCACTAGCGCGTAAACCCCGAAAATTCGCTTAGTTATTACTTTGTTTCACTGTTTTAAATAGTTTCATTGTAATTTGTTTTTAGCCCGCTTTTGCATTTGCTTTTCCGTGGTTAGGAATCAGGGACATTCGCTCTTTTGTTTACTTGCATTTCTCATTTTATTTTCATCTGATGTTATTGTAATTGGACACGCGCCTTTGTTCAAAAACGTGCTCGCTTCATTCGTTTTTGTTTGCACAATATTCGCACAGTTCGTCATAATTTCAATCAGTTTATTGCAAACCAACCTCTGTTCCTTTTACTACTCTTGTTGTTGGGCTATATTTTACTTAGTTTTGTTCTCACGTGTCGTTCGTTTGTGTCGCTCCAGTTATAGTTTCTATTTCATATTTTGCCATCTAAGTTAGAACAATTAGTTCACCAATAAGTGCTTTTCCGTTCAATTTGATTTTCTAAAATTCGCTCTAACCTTGCTTACTTGTATGTAAATTCTCCTGTTGTTCAGTTGTAGTCGTCATACACGGTTTTACCGCAGCATTTTTCATCGTTTTTAGTCGTTCATTTTACGATTTTTATTCGGAGATTGCTGATCCTTTTATTTTCATTCATTATTAAAGTCGGCTTTTCTTGTCAGTAAAGGGCTGTTGTGTTTAAACGATAAACAGAATAATACATGGTTGCTTTCAGATATGGAATTTGTCATCTCACTCGTTCGCTGCACTATCTACGCGCGCCCTTAGAATAAGAGAGATGGTAAGTTTTAAGCTCGGTAAAGAAATGGAGAAAGATGTTTTCGTCTTGTCACAAACGTGGGACAAAGAGAAAATCTTTCTCTATTTCTTTACCGAGCTCAAAACTTTACCATCTCTCTTAATCTATTTACAAACATGACGTTATCGACATCGCTGATCCCAGCCGTGTGCAGGACGCGTGTCATATGAACTTCGCAATAGACTTCGCTCACCATAGAGTCTCTGTGGCTCAGAGGTAGAGCATCGGAGCGCGGATTCCGCAGGTTTGAAATTCGATTCCGTGTGGGGACTCAGATTTTCCTCTTTGTCCCGCGCTCGTGAAAAGACGAAAAACATCTTTCTCTGTTGACAGGATACCTCGCTAAATAAGAAGTTAAGGAATTTTTCAAAAGTGTTAACTTTACATATATCCTTTATTGCTTTAATAAACAATGGGTGGATACAAACTTATTAAAAACTCAAAAATATAAAAATCGAGAGTAGAGTTGCGTAGCTTTTTGTTTTTCAGGAAAAAAACAATCTAGATTGCAAAATTCAAGTGAAAAGCAAGCCAACTGTCATTAACGCCTTGAACAACTGGAAGTCAAGATACATTTTTATCGTCACACAATAAATTAGCAAACGTAAATATCATTCTTCTTGATGCCTCTCCCGGTGTCACCGATTTCTTTTCCCGATGCCTCCGTTGGTTAATATAGCGGTAAAAAATATTTTTACAGTCAAAGTGTTTGGAAAATTCCTTAACTTTTTTAATTAGCGAAGTATAACTTGGTGACATTT